ACTCTCATGGGCAGGCGAAAGATGAACGGGAAGGGCTCTCTCTCGACTGATGAGTCTGTGACCTGCAGCAGCAAGAGCACTGGCACCAGGTGGCTCTGCCTTGCGAGACGGACAAAGTGGGAGAGGCTCACTTCGCACCCTCGGGTCTCATCAAGCACCCAGACCAGACACACGGACACCACCGGCCGCCTGCTGCGGTGCTTGCCTGCTTGCAGGCCCGGCGGCACTCAAAGGGCACAGAAATCAATCGCACGTACAGACGCGCAACAGCCCTTCTGCACAGGAAATTCAGTGGAGCGTAACAGCGGCTAAAAAACCCCCACGTACCCGTTTTTACTTCGTTCTGTCCGTTCAAACCAGGCGAGCTGGCAGTTCAGAGGAAAATTGTTGACATAAAAGGCCCTAACTTGAGACTCTTCAAATATTGTCGGGTTTCTCATAAATAACCTGTAAAGTTATCGGAAAGTTAATTAACTTGAAATCTGCCAAATTGCTGGTATCTGCTGTTAGTTTATATAACGGCAAATAATACAGAATTATTTTTTAATTGCTTTCAAATTATCTGTTCTAACGCTCTCTTTGCTTCTCTCGGTTACGGGAGGAATTCCTGGTGGTCTCTGCCATTTGCTCTCCACGTGCAGCGAGGGCGGCCCTCGCCTGCAGACCTTTCCAAGTCCACTGTAATGTTACCCCAGCGTCCATCCCTGAGGAATGAAGTTCCCCTGCAAGCATTTTTCGAGAGACTCATGATCGGCTGAATTTTCTTTGCTGAGCAGCAATTCCTGGAAAATCCTGCGACGTATTCCAAGACTTTCCGACTGCTTTTGGAGAATTAGCTCCGAGCAAAGTGATACAGTCTGCTGAGGCCATGTCTGACCCAGAAAGTATTAACTGCAGAATGCGGGGGACAGCTGGTTATCAGAAGGAAAAGGCACACAGCGCAGGAGCGCGGCACGCGGAGCTCCTCGGGTTAGTTCTGGATGGCTGTCAGCTCGCTGGAGCCAGCCAAGCCCGGGAAGCAGATACGGCACCTCTGCCAGAGCCTGCGCCGCAGCCCGTGACGGAGCGCGCTCAGATATCCCTCGCACGGGACGCGCCAGGCGGCGAGGAGGCCGCTCATCACCCGAGAGCATTTCAGATACGTGATACGATAAGGCTGAGCAGAAATCTGAGGTACAGCAGGATTGTTTCCAGCAAAGCGCCGAAGGGCTCAGCCTTTCGGGGGGAGGACGGTCTGCGATCGGGTCTGGTCGGCAGCATGCCAGAGGCAGCTTTTGCAAAGCGCTGCTCTTTGGTGGTCGCAGGTGGTGCTCCTCAGAAGCACGACCAGGTACCGTCCTCCTTTAAATCAGGTTAAAAAAGAATGTCTTGTTGCACGACAGTGCAAATGCTGTTTATTTCCAGCTACACCTGAGCAGACGAGGCTTCGATCCCTGCTTAGCTTTCCCAGCCCAGACACAGGGCTGCCTGTCTGGGGTAGCGGTTTTTCCGTCACTGTTGCTGTCGATGAGGTGGTGCACACCAAGCACACATTTGCTGCCGCATCATCAGCGCTTGAACATTTTAACTCTATGAGAATCAGAGGAAACCCTTCATTTGGAAGTCATGGTTTACGATTTTTGCCGGTACTACAGCACGGAGAGCGCTTCCCGCCGCCCCGTCGCCCGGCGGCTCCCGTCTCGCCGTAGCCTCGCTGCGCA